CGTAAGGTTTTTTTGTGAAAAGAGTCCCAGACATTTATATATTTATACTTTTACATGGTACTTAGAATACAAGTATGAAAACAAAATATCGGCTCTGCAAATTGACTGAAAAAATGGATCCATATATAATATATATATAGTTTCGATTCTTTTAAAAGCAACCCTAGAAATTACGGCCAAGGTGTATAGCTTAGTTTTAAATCATTTATAATCCAGCTAATGGAAACTTACAGACTATGTGATCGCATTTTTTTTCACTGTATGTTCAATTTCCAAAAGTGAGACTGTGACCATATGTAAACTTGTCTCACTGTTATGGCCCTGGAGCCTGATCTTAATAATCCGAGTTAAATATTTCGTCATCTTAAATTATCTATTCAATGTAGATCTACTTTGATGCATATTAAACAAGAACTTTATTTAATATAGATCAGACCTTTTAAAGAAATTACTTTTATGCCAAATATTTCAAAAAAAAGTCATGATGTACTGTTTAGCATTATCATGACGTGAACGTCAAACTACGGTTATGTGGACATGTCATTGGACATCTTAGATCGTTCGTATTTTCTACCTGCGGCTGAAACAAAAATATATATCATATCATATTAGAGGAAATGAAATGTATGTTCTAGTCATATCAGTAAAAAGGTTTTAAAAATTGGGGATTAAAGTAAAATTTCGTTTAATAGACTGTCTCCGAATTACCGGTATTCTATGCGACATTTTGTCCATCGGGACATTTTATTGGACACGGGAAAACTGACGATGTTTTGAAAGTAAAACCACAGGTATAAAATAATGACTTCAGATACCCTTTGTAGAACATGTATTAATTTTCAGATATTATCAAAAGCCACTTACATGTGTTATATTTTATATAAGTGAAGGTAGAAAGTTTTTTTAGGAGCTGAGCAGCTGAATGGGACATTTTTTTTTCTTCCTTTAAGTTATCTTAATTCTTCTGATAATATTCTTTCACTTACTTTTAAAAACATCTATGACGATATTTTTCGTCAGTAGTATACAATACTGTTGCAAAATTTTATCACATTTAGCCTACTAATTAATCCGCACTATGATATCAAAGACGCGCACAAAACAAAATTGTAACAGCGGGACACCCTTAAAATGACGTTATAGCCAGTAATAGGCATCGGAATGAGCAAATTTTGCTTTACATAATATACAATGCAAAAATTCATTTATTTTATTGATTTCATTGGTTTATTTCCTTTTGAATGATACGCAGAACATGCATGATATTTATTGTGTAGGAAATGAGCTTGAATTGGAATAACGTCTTTATGTCTTGGTGTACGTCGACAAAAGTTTACAAAGCATGTAAAGTTGGCAATATTATATCAAAGCTGCCTTCCACAGCAATTTACAATCCTGAAAAAATACATCATGTTGTCAGATCTTGAGTTATATTATGCAGACTCTTAAATATCCAAATTATCATAAATTTCACCAACTTTACAGGATGTATAAATATAGATTCTTACATTGATACCAGTGGATTATCAGATTTATCCAATCGAGAAAGTTAAATTATCAAGTTTAACGTCCGAGCCTTAATTTAACTATCGAGATTGGATAAATCCGATAATCCACGAGTAACTATGTAAGAATCTGTTGCTCCAATGATTAAAAAATAAATTTTCATTTTTTGTTAAACTAAAATCCCCTTCGAGTGCCTTCCACATTCCACAAAGTTGTCAATTTCATTAACACCTGTTAGCATATTTTGATTCATCCAGTGAGCTGATAAAGGTTATGACTCTTAAATTCATCATACATTTCTCTCTAATTCTTTGTCAATTTAACCCTTTCCGGGCCCATTGTATAAAAAAAATTAATCAACGTGTGATTGCCGATGATCTCAGAAGATGAGGGTCATAACCTTTATGAGCTCATTGGATAAATCAAAATGTGCTAACAGTTGCGTTCAGTATCGTAGCGGCTACATAGGGCTACGTAGATTTATGACTATTGAACGTGTAGCTATAGCCTAGCTGCTACATAGATATTGATAGCAGCTAGTCTAGCTACTCGTTCAGTAGACAAAAATCTACGTAGCACTACGTAGCTGCTATGATATTGAACGCAACCCAGGTGTTAATGAAATTGACAACTTTGTGGAATGTGGAAAGCACTCGAAGGGGATTTCCGGTCATCAAAAATGAAAATTTATTTGATAATCATTAGAGAAGCAGACTCTTACATAGTTACTCGTGGATTATCCAATTTATCCAATCTCGATAGTTAAATTATCAATTTTAAAGTCCTCGCATACTAGTAGGCTATTATTACAGATACATGTTAACATAATTATTACTTTATAAACTATTTTTTTTAATTCTTAAATTAGCATGACTTAGTATTTCGACTTAAAGGAAGTTGCAAGTACTCTTAGATTTGTCGTTAGTTTGTTAGTTGCTCGATCTGATGAGTCAAGTCCTTTTCAACAGATTTTCACAGTTTGTTGTTACACAGCTGTCGCATGTTAAGGTACATAACTGAACTGCTTGATAAATGAATTAGGTATTGACAATTCATTTGGAAACTCAACATACCGGTATACCCTCACGACACTTACCAAAGAGGAAATCCTGGATTATCATAGGTCTGTTCTATCTTCCTTTGGAATTTCAACCAAAGATGAAGAACTGGATCTTCCATCACTGTATTGGATACCTAAACTACATAAGTGTCCTTACAAACAACGGTATATTGCTGGGTCTTCCAAGTGCTCAACGAAACATCTTAAGTTCTAAATAATTAACATCTGTTTTATCAGCAATCAAAGCCGGGCTCCAAAGTTATTGTGAAACTGCCTATTCTAGAGGTGGCGTGAATCAGATGTGGATACTAAAAAATTCCAAAGATCTTTTAGAGTACATACAATCTAAGACTCTCTCATCTTGCAATAGTGTTAAAACATTTGACTTTTCTACACTTTACACAAGTATTCCCCATTCCAAACTAAAAGACAAATTGAAAGAGTTGGTATTATTGTTTCATTAAAAAGAATGGCGAACATAGATACCAGTATCTTGTCTTGAGGAGGGATAAATCCTACTTTGCAAAGAATCACTCTGATTCAAACAAAATATTCTCTGAAACTGACATTATCAAGATGCTTGATTTCTTGATTGACAACATATTTGTTACGTTTGGAGGGCGTGTTTTTCAACAGATTGTCGGAATTCCAATGAGAACCAATTGTGCCCCTCTTCTTGCCGACTATTTTCTTTACTATTATGAGGCGGACTTCATACAGGAACTTCTTAGGAAGAAAGATAAGAAGTTAGCAATATCCTTTAACTTTACGTTCCGCTATATAGATGATGTTCTCTCACTAAATAATACAAAATTGGGTGACTATGTTGAACGAATCTATCCCATCGAACTAGAGATAAAGGATACTACAGATACAGTTAAGTCTGTCTTATATCTTGACTTACATCTAGAAATTGACAATGAGGGTCGGTTGAAAACAAAACTTTACGACAAAAGAGATGATTTCAGCTTCCCAATTGTGAACTTTCCATTTCTATGTAGCAACATTCCAGCAGCGCCTGCATACGGAGTATATATCTCCCAATTGATACGATATTCCCGGGCTTGTATTTCCTATCATGATTTCCTTGATAGAGGATTGCTGCTCACAAGGAAGCTATTAAACCAAGAGTTCCAAATGGTGAAGTTGAAATCATCCCTTCGTAAATTTTACGGACGCCATCACGAGTTGGTTGACCGTTATGGAATAACCGTTTCACAGATGATATCGGATATGTTCCTTATGTCGTAACTACAATACCCTTCCCTTTTCACGAATGTGACCTACCGAATAAGACTATTTACCAGATTTGTAATAACATAAGCAACACGACGGGTGCCACATGTGGAGCAGGATCTGCTTATCCTTCCGGAGCACCTGAGATCAACCCCAGTTTTTGGTGGGGTTCGTGTTGCTTAGTGTTTAGTTTTCTATGTTGTGTCATCTGTACTATTATTTGTTTGTTTGTCTTTTTATTTTTAGCCATGGCGTTGTCAGTTAGTTTTCGATCTATGAGTTTGACTGTCCCTCTGGTATCTTTCGTCCCTCTTTTAAGGGGTGTGTTGAACGCCCACAAACATGTTTAATCCTTCCACATTCCGCATTACATGTGCTTGTCTATATAATACCACCTCTCCTTATTTTAACAAAAATACAAGTTGGAATCATTAACATTTAATAAACACTAGTAGGTTAATCGCAAAGAAAAGAATAAAAAAAGCAGTGGGCATGTGCCTCCATGTGCAACGAGATACCCTTTGACCCTATATAATTCCCTTTGTCTATTTAGCAAATAGATACATGCATACCGTTAGGGTGTCGTATTACCAAACGGTTAATATTGTTCTAACAAACTTCCAGGAAATTCATCAAAATCGGAATTATCCATTGATATCTAACTGTACCGTGAAAAAGCTTGGAACGATACGTTACAACTAACATAATTATTTGGTACCTTTTTCGAAAATTTTGGGTAAAAAGAGCAATGAGTCGTTTAGAGAATTTACCAAAAGTTGAATCGGAAAGGTAAATGTAAAAGATAGGCGAAAGATACCAAAGGGTCATTCAATCTCATAAGTCGAAAATAAACCGACAATGCCATGGCAAAAAAAAGAGACCATAAGACAAACAACAGTATACAAAACACAACGTAGAAAACTAAAGACTGAGAAACGGACTCCACCAAAAACCGGGGGTGATCTCAGGTGCTCCGAAAGGGTAAGCAGATCCTGCTCCACATGTGGCACCTGTCGTGTTGCTCATGTAAGTACAAACCGGTGATAAGTCTAATTCGGTAAGCCGCATTCGGGGAAAAGAGGACGTGACTGTGGTTACGACAATTGGAACATATCCGTCGTCATCTGAAAAACAGATATTCCATAACGGTCAACCAACTCGTGATGGCGTCCGGATCAAAAACAACAAGTCTCCCAACTTAATGATCTTTGTCCTATTTATTAAGTCACAAACAAGTTAAAATTCAAGTTTCGATGTTTGTAAAATCTTTTTAACCAATCAAATTGCTTGCGAGTGGATCCAGAATACCATACGAGCCTCGATATGGCGTTAAAGCGGAAACTGATGGCACATATGTACGACGGCGGGGAGACATCTTATACACCACAGGCCATGAAACTCCGAAAAGATCTTTTCTGAAGTAAACCTCTCTTCCTGTGCCAAACAATCTGCTCCTGAACGAAAACATATTCCTTAAAGACCGCTTGTGTTTACCATGCTTAGACGAAGGAGGAAGTTTGTTGTTTGACTGTAAATGAGAAATATCTGCCGATCGAGTTGCAGCAGTTACCATGGTTACCGTAACCGTGACATCAGAAACATTTTTATGTGTATTCTTTCCAGAGTCTATTCTTTCTGTAGATGTCAAATTCGGTGAGTTGGGCTTGTTGCCGTTTTCATCAGACATTCTTGTTTTCATCTCTTTGCTTTTTGAAAATTTGTTTTTTGAACTTCCAACTACTTTCCAACTCTTAAGTCGCTCAGAAATAAGATATCGCATCATCCTGAATTTGATACGATTTGAAAAAAAATCGTCATACACGAAAGACTCGTACAATTCATGAAAATTGGAAGCCCGAATTCCCATACCATCAATGTTTTCTAAGGCACTTCTCGTAATCAACTTGTCATTGCTCGTATTCTTTGACTTTTCGTTTGCCCTGCAATTATAAATTTTACAGTGAATAAATATATATATGGATTAAAGGTCAAAGACAAAGCAACATAACGTCTGATTAAAACAAACAAATGAGAAGGCAATATCTTTTTATTTAATGATATATTACACGATGATGCTCAGATCCAACTTTTAGTGGCAAACAGGACGAGAACATGAGTATGAACTCTGCTTTCTATTAGACCCACACTCTTAATTGTTGGGTGCTTGGTAGAGAAGCAGCAACTAATAAATTTCAAGTATTTGGTTTCAGTCGGAAAGGGGACGAACGTGCTTGGTTTTTCTGGAGTACAATTGAATTTATGATTGCTGTAATACAAATTTAACCATGAATGGATTCAACAGAGTTCACCAAAGATATGAGATCAATACAAACTTCCCAAATTGTCAAAACTGACCAGGAAGTAAAGAAATCAATTAACTAGACTTTTGTCATAGGACAGGCCGGATCACAAACATATATTTACAGCGGGTGTAAAACTTGTTCTTCTGCGAGTTTTCTGCCTTATCCTAAACACTTCGACCAATGAAAAAAAAACCAAAAGACACAGAGAAAAACGTATAAAAATAACAGTAAAGAAAATACATTTAACTCGATAAAAGTCGACACTATTTGAACAAATAATGTATTTTTTCCAACGTGCACAACATCTTAGTTTTTCTGGAGTACAACTGAATTCGTGATTTTTCAAAATATATACCAATTGGAATATATCCACCCTATTTGAAATCTTACAAAATCATAGTTCAAAAATAATCGTAATCCTTTTTTAGCCCTTGATATATTGCTTGCGGCAACATATTGAGAAATTTTCCTTGAATTTTTTCTTGTTTTACATAGTTAATGGACGTATTTTTAAAGGTCATGATGAAATTGTTGTACAAAAGAAATATTGTATTATCTTCGGATAATTATTTTTCTGTATTGAAATTACGTTGAAGATCGTTCCTTACTGCAATGTACGGTTCATGACGTTGCTGTATAAAATCTACTCTGAAATACAGCAGCCAATAAAAGAATGTAGGGAGACATATTGTTTCTATTTCAACAATAACATTTCGAAACTAAAGTTTTTATTTAATACATTATAACGTGTTTTTGCTGTCCATAATACCGGTATATACAATAAGGCTGAGCACCTTTTTCTCAACATTTTTGAATGGACGTTATTTCGTGAACCTTTAGTTATTCCACGGATTGAAGATAAGATTGGTAAAACAAAGATGGTTTAACGCCGCCAAAATAATCTGAGCACTGACGCTCATTGTATATATGCAAGTGAAAACGTTGTTTTGGCTGTTCTGGTAAGCGCATATTAATTGTGATGCTATCAAACGTGTTATTAGTAAATTTCATATATGATTTTCGGTCTTATTGAGATTGGAGTAATTAATTGTAATCATTCCATTCACAAATTCTATTTTAAAAGTGTACAAAATCGATATCAATGATAAAGAAAGTTCTTATTCGCGAGTCACAGAAATACAAATTTAGATTGCTATTGTTTTTTATAACTTAGAATTTTTCATCTTTTAGATAATGTCACAAAAACCCAATAACCAGTCATTTAAATATATATATATTTCATCTAATACCGATAAATGAGATCAGTTCCGGAATAGTCAGGGGGCCCGCAGGAACCAGATAAATTACAATATAAATGAACTTTATATTGTATCGTTGACTTAAATATATAGTGCAAATTCAATTAACAGTTCACATTTCGTAACACCTTATAAGCCAAAAAGTTTATGTTTCCAAAGTCTGACGATGGATGACGTACGTTTAATAATGACTGATAATTATATATATATATATATATTTTTTCAATTTAGACTTGTATGTATATATATATATATATTGAGACAGGTTTTTATTTTCCATTGTCAAGCCTGTGTAACTGGAGAGCATGATTTTCATTACAAAATCGCCTATCTCCTCCGGGACTTGAACCCGGGACCTCTGTGTTACAAGGCAGCGTGTTAACCACTGAGCTAAAGAAGTACTTCCCTAGCTCAACCGCTTACGGCTCGCTAAGTATCTACTACATATATTAAGGGAAGCAACCCCGTCACACCTGTATAGAAAAATTAACAGTTCACAATGTTTAACACCTTATAAGCCCAAAAATTTGTCGGCGTCTGACGAAGGATGACGTACGTTGAACAGAGAATAGTTTTACACATATATTTTGGGCCAAGTTTTTATTTTCCAGTGTCACGCCTGTACAACAATTAACAGTTCACATTTCTAAACACCTTATTAGCCCAAAATTTTATGTTGGCGTCTGACGAAGAATAACGTACGTTGAACAGTGAATAGTTTTACACATATATATTTTTGGTCAAGTTTCAAGTTATTTACCAGTGTCACGCCTGTATAACAATTAACAATTCACATATATAAACACCTTATAAGCCAAAAGTTTATGTTGGCGTCTGACTAAGAATGACATACGTTGAACAATGAATAGTTTTACACATATATATTTTGGGCCAAGTTTTTATTTACCAGTGTCACGCCTGAATAACAATTAACAGTTCACATTTCTAAACACCTTATAAGCCCAAAAGTTTATGTTGGCGTCTGACGAAGAATGACGTACGTTGAACAATGAATAGTTTTACACATATATATTTAAGGCCAAGTTTTTATTTACCAGTGTCACGCCTGTATAACAAATTAACAGTTCATATTTCTAAACACCTTATTAGCCAAAAGTTTATGTTGGCGTCTGACGAAGAACGACGTACGTTGAACAATGAATAGTTTTACACATATATATTTTGGACCAAGTTTTTATTTACCAGTGTCACGCCTGTATAACAATTAACAGTTCACATTTCTAAACACCTTATAAGCCCAAAAGTTTATGTTTGCGTCTGACGAAGAATGACGTACGTTGAAGAGTGAATAGTTTTACACATATATATATTTTGGGCCAAGTTTTTATTTACCAGTGTCACGCCTGCATAACAATCAACAGTTCACATTTCTAAACACCTTATAAGCCCAAAAGTGCATATGTTGGCGTCTGATGAGTTTAACGTTCGTCATATTTCGTCGACAGTCCTCTGTTACAGTTCTTACTGTCAAACAGGACCTACATGTTTAGAAAAGAGACATGAACTCAGTCAAGAATTTGACTTTTTTCTATAAGATTATATGTAGTGTAAAATTCAGACAAAATATTTGTCTCAACAGTTTTACATATATTTTTTGGTCAATATATTTTTTACTTCCCCCTGCCCCCTAAATCTGCCTCTTAATTCCTATGGGAGTGTTAAAACCTTGTAAATCAAACTCGAGTTAAACACAAATGTAACGTTTAATAAGATACTCAGATTAAGCTATGCCCAAATACATCCATCGGTTTTATCACATACCTTATCCATTATCATAGTAATCGTCCTGAACATACATGAAACATTTGCCACTTGACGTCAAGCAACCAACAATTAATCAATCAATTCAACATCATTTAAAACATATAAAAACTTACAGTGCTTCGTAAAAAGCAAACGCAAGCAGGATATACTTGAATAAGCTCCGTCTGGATGAATGCATTTCCAAAAATATCCTGGAAAAAAATATGGAAGTGAGTTGTTGGCCTTTATATGTGTGAAATTGTGGTTTTTAGTTATACCTCATAATTTTTCGCTAGCTAATTGTTCGCTAGCTTGAGTCAAGTCATTTTGACTTGACTCAAGCTAGCGAACAATTATCTATTTTATGTATTATCAATATATCTATATTACATCATTTTTTTTTTTACATTTCGTTATTGAAAAATATACATTTAACATAATTATCACTCTGATCAAATTACATAGCCAGTAAAAATAATTTTATGTAAAATAAGATATTAGCCACAGTTAAGTTAAATTTGATGCGACTTAAATTTTGCATTTTAACAAAAATCTTGATATTATCACATACTTATAGCAAACAACTTATTATTACAAAACATTGTCGAATAAAATATACTTTCGAATTTTACAAAATACAACAAAACAAACAAAAAGTGTTCTTTATCTATGGTTTCTCAACATGTTATGTTTATTTTACATGAAATAGTTGATTGCAACAATACTTACAATGTAGAAGCTATCTTCCGTTATTTGGTTATTTAGCTGTTTCACACCTGTTCATCCGTCTATGAGACTAGTTTATGAATAAAATTTCCTCTTTTTTTAAAGTTTGTCCTTTGGGTGTTTGGAAAATCAATTTTCACCTTTTAACGTGCGAAGGATTGGGCTTCCCGAAGATGGTCATAATGCATTAAGTTGTCATGAAAAGAACCGGAATGACGCATTCACATGTTTTCTTGTTTTGTCACTTTTACAAACGTTGGAAGAAAATTATGTCCACTTAAGGCTGTAATTTAGTATATTGTATTAGAAACACAACATAGTCCCATGGAACATCAATATAACACAAAATATTATCATCAATATTACTTATTGTCCCATCTGATTAAAGTGAAATTTCAGATCTATGATCTCTTAAGAGCATAGCGAAATCACATATCTATTTTTAATTAGATTGTAACTGTACGATACTGTTTTATAAAGAAACCTTATTAATAATTTACTGGGTTATATAATACTTACAGGTTTATTGTATCAAAAGGAACACTCGGTTTCTGTTTAATAGCATTTGTATATGTTTCTTTTATGCATTTTATTTTTTCTTAACGTGGTACCAAACACCTTGACTAAAATTAATTTGGCTCGTTTAATTTTCATAAAATTTTGACAAAATATTTACTTTGACCCTTTGACAAAAATATAAAAATTTCAAAAAACTTGAACCACACACTTTGTCGGAAAAATTTCATTGGATAAATAACAGTTTGACAAACACTAATTTTGATCATTGAGAAGCTTAATATTTCCTTAACAATAAAACGTGATTAAACGTTCAGCTGATTTTTACAGAGTTATCTCCCTGTAGTGTTATGTACCACCTTAAATTGTTTTCATGTTGCGTTAGACTTAAATGCAATAGCTTAGTCCAGTGCTGAGGAAAAATAGAAAAATAATTAGCTTGGCTCACAAATGCATGCCCTCGTTCATATATAACGTCCTTTATATAACGAACAGAGAAAATTATTATGGGATAAAGTAAACAGTTTTTGTAATAATTTTAAAGAATTACCCAAGGATAAAAAATATTTCTGGCTGTTCACAAATGAGCATTTACCAACTCTTATGTGCCTAGGCAATTATATAATTAAGTGTTTAGAAATAAGATCCAGGTGGATACAAAATATATAAAATTATTATGCAATTATTGTTAATGTTATGTAAGACACATGATGTGTTAGGCTCTGATCCTGTCCAATATATGATAGTATTATATTAGGATATAGTTTTTCTTTTTTCCAATCATATTGTGCTTAATATTGTTGTAAATGATGCCCTTTATGGGTTCTTGATTAGATTAATAAAATTCTTATCTTATCTTATCTTATCTTATATTCGTATCATGACTGAGATATGACAAACGTCCATATTTTGCGGCTGCATAGAACCACAAAATGTTTCGTATCGAAAATAGCATAAAATATGCACAATGACATATTGTCTGATGATTTTATATAAAAGTTCCATTGGTAAAGGGCCATTGTATTTGAAGAAGGCACAGATAAAGGGTACGATAAATATAATCTTGATGTGCATTTCTCCGATTTACTTGGACAATTATACATACATGTAGGAACCTGTCTAGTATTCTTATGACATTTTTCGGCGTTTTTTATGCTCTCTCTAATTTGTAGTAAGCTGATCAAAATAATAGGTATATCTGCACCGGAAAATGAAAGTAAGTTTGATAGAAATAAAATTGAGAATGGAAATGGGGAATGTGTCAAAGAGACAACAACCCGACCATAGAGTAGACAACAGCCGAAGGCCACAAATGGGTCTTCAATGCAGCGAGAAACTCCCGCACCCGGAGGCGTCTTTCAGCTGGCCCCTAAACAAATATGTATACTAGTTCAGTGATAATGGACGTCATACTAAACTCCAAATTATACACAAAAAACTAAAATTAAAAATGATACAAGACTAACAAAGGCCAGAGGCTCCTGACTTGGGACAGGCGCAAAAATGCGGCGGGGTTAAACATGTTTTTTGAGATCTCAACCCTCCCCCTATACCTCTAGCAAAACAAACGTACAACAGTACGCACAGTAAAACTCAGTTTAAGAGAAGTCCGATGTCAGAATAGGAAACGAAAGAAAATAAACAAAATGACAATTATAATACATAGATAACAACAGACTACTAGCAGTTACTGACATGCCAGCTCCAGACCTCAATTAAACTGATTGAAAGATTATGTCTTCATCATATGAATATCAGGCACAATCCCTCCTGTTAGGGGTTTAGTATTATACCGTCATAAAATATATGAGAAGAACATAACCCGTGTCATGCCAACAACTGGTTTTAGAATAAATATGTTTAATTCCGATGCAAAGACCCTATAAGTGAATCAATATTAAAGCCAAAATATGCAATTTTTAATGACCTGACAACAGTATCGTAACTGTATCCCTTCTTAATAAGTCTGTTTAAAGGTTTTGTTAGCTTTTGAGGTGAATACTGACATTTTTGTGCTTTGTAAAGAATATTACCATAAAAGATTGGATGTGAAATACCCGAACGTATAAGATGTCTGCATGTTGAGTTATATTTACGAATGATGTCCTTATACCGATGATAAAATTTAGTAAATGTTTTGACTAGTTTATGATATCGAAAACCCTGGTGTAATAATTTTTCAGTAATATATAAATTTCTCTCGCTAAAATCTAATACGTTGTTACATACACGAGCGAATCGTGCAAGTTGAGATATATAAACACCATAAGATGGTGACAAGGGAACATCACCATCTAAAAATGGATAATTAACGATAGGAAATGAAAAATCATCTCTTTTATCATAAATTTTTGTTTTAAGCTTCCCGTTAATGATATAGATATCAAGATCGAGGAAAGGACAGTGGTCATTGTTAGTATTAGCTTTATTTAAAGTAAGTTCAACAGGATAAATTTCTTTAGTATACATACTGAAGTTGTCATTACTGAGAGCCAATATATCATCCAAATATCTAAAAGTATTGTTAAATTTTTGTATCAGATGTTGTTTCGATGGGTCTTTGCTGATTTTAGTCATAAATTGTAACTCATAACAATACAAAAGCAGGTCCGCAATAAGTGGTGCACAGTTAGTCCCCATTGGAATTCCGATAACTTGACGATATACGGAATCTCCAAAGCGAACAAAAATGTTATCAAGTAAAAATTCAAGGGCAGATATAGAATCAAAGCATGTCCAATGGACATAGCTCTTGTTTGTTGCTACTAAAAAATGACCTAAAAGAGTTTGAACATATGTATTCGCATTCCGACTTTTTAAATGCCCATTTAATTAGGTGTGTGAATTTTTTCTTAATAAGAATATGAGGCAAAGTGGTATATAGGGTAGAAAAATCAAAACTTTGAACAGATTCAAAATCACCAATATATGCATGCAATTTATCAAGTACTTCCAACGAGTTTTTGACACTCCAAAAGTAGTTAATTCCACTATTTTCAAAGGCCCTATTTGAACAATTTATTATCAGGTTTTTGATTGTACCAAGTGTACTAGTAAGTAGAATAGACAATTTAGTAGTGGAACAATGACTTGAAGACGAAATAAATCTATATTTGTAAGGTGATTTGTGTAGCTTCGGAAGCCAGTACATAGTTGCTTTGCTTTGGAACAGACCACCGAAGGACCACCCAGATAGTTGTTATAGGGGTTTTTGACGAAAAGAGAGCGTGGCCATTTCTATACAAAATGCACCTGACAGAACGTATTTTGTTTACAAAGTCGATGCACAAGAACATTACATACTCTATCAATTTAAGTTTAAAGTTTCTACCCGGATTCTGTCCAACAAAAACGTCGTAATATATATCATTTAAAATCGTTTCTCGTTCGGGAAACGCTTCATAGCTGTGTTTTTATTCTGTTTCTATATATCAAGAATAAAACGGTTTCAAATTGACATCAATAGCCAATCCCGTTGTTTTAAGCCTAAAGGAAGATGTTGTAATACCATGCACAGATGACTAAATAATAGTCGAGTGTGCCTTTTTAGTAGACTGACAGAACGTATTTTGTTTACAAAGTCGATGCACAAGAACATTACATACTCTATCAATTTAAGTTTAAAGTTTCTACCCAGATTCTGTCCAACAAAAACGTCGTAATATATATCATTTAAAATTGTTTCTCGTTCGGGAAACGCTTCATAGCTGTGTTTTTATTCTGTTTCTATATATCAAGAATAAAACGGTTTCAAATTGACATCAATAGCCAATCCCGTTGTTTTAAGCCTAAAGGAAGATGTTGTAATACCATGCACAGATGACTAAATAATAGTCGAGTGTGCCTTTTTAGTAGACATTGTGGACTTCACATCACTGTATAACTCGCGTAGGATAAGAAGAAAGTTATACGACTTTCACAATCTTCAATGGTATGTTTTATTACACTGAATATTATTTTGTATATGCATTTGAAAGTCGTTGGAA